TAGTTTATCTACTGCTTCTCTTATTGGGAGAGAAGGAGACAGTCTCCTTATTGTTGTTTCTGGTGTTTGTCTCTCTTGTATCCATGGAGAGATAGGTATTTTACTATTATTATAATTATTATAAGTAAGAGAAGGATTTATATTTATATTTGTTGCTGTTGTTGTGGGGCGAGAGATAGAAGCATGATGATGGTGGGGTTGTTGTGTGTTTATATTTATATTTATATTTGTGTTTGTATTTATATTTATATTTGTAGATGAGGATACACCTGAACCTGGCTCAGCAATATAAAGAGAAAATAAATGTTGTAGTGTGGGGTGTCTCTGTACTTTGTCTCTGCATTGAGGCAACAATAAACCCTTTATAAATTCGGAGACAGGGAGACGGGATCGTGTATTGGAGACTGTTAGTTGTTTATTAGAGAAAGGATATTTATAAACAGCAATAGGCAACAACACCACCTGTGCCGCCAGTCTCTCTCTGAGCCAAGCAACAACTCTATGTGTATATGTATGTGTATGTGTATGTGTATGTGTGTGTGTGTGTTTATGTGTGTGTGTGTGGGTGTGGGTGTGTGGGGCGGGGAGAGAGGGAGGAGGAGACAGTTGGTGTGTGTTTTTTTCTGTATTGTATAGTTCATCAGCTGGATTTGTATGTGTAAATAGAAATAAAATAATATTTTTACTTTCTATATTATTTTTTTCTTTATCAAAGATATGTTGTTTTAATATATCTATAACTTTATGTTTATCTATACGAAAGGGATTTTTATATAAAAATTTTTGTAGTGTCTCTTTTGTTTTTTTTTTTAGTACTCTATATATATTATTTAATGTTGTAGCGAGCAACCCCACCCCAGTAACCACCACAGATGCTAAACCTAAAGAAGATAAAACACTTCCCCCTAGTATACTCGCTTGGTGAGATAGAGACAAGGAGACAGCTGCTTCTGGGGTTTCATAGTATCGTCCATCACCAGCAAAGTATGCGCCCCCAGCTGTCTGTCCGAATACATTCCCCACCCACTGCTCGCTGCTCTTTGCTAGGCCTGCAGCATAGCTGTGTATATATATATATATTTATACACAAAAAAAAACAAACACAAACACACACATAAATAAAAATATATATATATTATTGTGGTATAGGGACAGGGATGCTCATATCTAGATGCGTGATAGTTTTTTTTGGGGGGTTGGTTGTTTATTTATTTGTTTATTTAGTTTTTTTTTATTTGTTTATTTATTCGTTTATTTGTTTATTTGTTTATTTGTTTATTTAATTATTTTATATGGACTATAGAAGAGCTGTTGATGAAACTACAAGGAGACAGAAAAGGAGACAGAAAAGGAGACAGAAAAGGAGACACATAGGGAGATTTATATACTCATACAAATATAATATAATATAATAATAATAATACAAATATATATATCTATCTATCTTCTTTATTGTTATAGATATGAATACAAAAACAAATACAAATATAAATACAAAAACAAAAAAAAAAATAAAATAAAAATGGAAATAAATACGATTAAACAAAAGTGCAAACACAAAAAACCAAACAAAAACAAATAAAAAAATAAAAACAAACAGAAACAAACAAACAAAAAAAAATAAAAAAATAAAAAAAAAAAAAA